CCCACAGAGGTAGCATCAAAGACCCTCAGACAAGACCACTGCTTGCACCTGTCTGGCCCTCGATGTGATGAATCCTGCCCTCAGAAGGCAGAATTCAGATTTGCAAGTTGTGAGGGGACCTATTATTTTTTTTTTTCTAAATGCAGTCTTCTTTCAGAATATCCCTAAAGTTTCTTGCTTTCAAAAGCTGGCCCACTGCATTTCAGTCTCACTCTCTGCTGGTCACTAAAGCACGACGCAGCAGATTTATTTGACCAGCCATCCTACCCAGCAAAGGAGACACAACCAAAGCGTTCAGTGTGTCATGATGCTCACTCCAACACTCCCAGAAATAGTAATATTGTACATTTATTCAGCATCTGCGTGAGGAAAGTGCATCTCTAATAACCATCAAAGTAGAAAAGCAGTCAGATGTTAACACTTCTCTTTCCACCCCTTTCAAACCACTCTAAGGAAGCTCTATAAACCATGCTGATGAATGGAGGGTCCAGCACTGAAAAAAATGCAAGAAAAGCTGTTTTATTCCTTCTTTCATGAGGAGAGAACAGCCTCCGCTGAAGCAGGGAAATAGAAAATGAACCTCTGAAGCAGTCATGCAAAATTTCAGACAGAGCCTTACTCGTGTGATTCTGTTTAATCACCATCCATTTCCTCTTCACTCTTCAACTAAATAATAAATATGGAGTGGCTTTTTTCATTACCATTTGAGCCAGAACTGGTCCTGGAGAAAATATGAAAATAAGGGATGAGCCTTGAAATCAGTGGGTTTCACTGATTTTAAATACAAGGCACCTGTGTAAATTTATAATCCAATAATTAATAATCCAGCGCCTTTTTATCTTAGGAACTCTCAGGAGTAATTTCCTCATCTGAGTGTAGCACACATCATAAATCCACTCCAAATGATTTTTAAATTTGTCCTTTCCAATTCCGGTTTGAATTGACATTTTGTTCTGGTTGAAGTGGCATCCTCAGACGCCTTCTCCCCTGCAATTAGCTGAGATTAAGCAGTTGGAGAACCAGTACAGCAAAGATCAGAAATGCTCATAGTCACTGATGCTTTGATCATACTGAACAGCAGAACAGCAGTAGGCTGTAGTTTGTGACTTTAAGTTGCATAAATAAATATATTTCCGAAACGGCTTTAAAATGATCCGTAGCAGGCTGTGCCAGCAAGTGGACTGCATTTTTTACTGCTGGCAAGCAGCTTATGTGCTAGAGCCCGTCTGCAGCTTCAGTGCAAAACACACAGAGCCTCATCTTTCTCTTTGTTCAATATTTATATCTTCCTGAGCTACTTAATGACATGCTAAAAAAGATCTAAGTGCGTTCCAGTTGCAGATCTGGATTTATTTAATCATTGTCAATCTGAAAGTATTCAGAGCTTTGGGTTATTAGTATTTTATATAATGCTACGGATCATCTTTTGGAGCATGTGTGCTGGCTATCCCAGTAATGTGAGCAGCCTGAGACAGGCAGTACAGCACAGGGTTTTAGTCACACCCTATCTGTTAAATTTAATAGCAGTTGAGCAGCTAAAACTCCTTATCAGTGCTGTGGAAGTGTATCCCAGGGTGAGCGTACGCTGGCCACAGCTGCCTGAATCCTGTCAGCTAATGCCGTCTGCTTGGCTGCACCCTGGGCAGAGCGCAGAGTACGGGGAGCAAAGTTTGACACGTGGGCTGAGTTAATAGGAGCATTTGGAAACTGAGACGTACTGTGCACTTGCAACACACTTCCTAAATGCTTTTTAAAACTTTAGTATTCTGGTACTTGAAGACCAGGGCTGAGATGCTACAGTAACAACCAGACGAGGAATACTTTGGCCTTTGTGCTTCATCCCGTTCTGAGTGGAACTGAGAACATCAAATGGAAAAATTAAAAAATTAAATCAGCAGACCCCCCAAACTCACAGAAATTGTTAGCCTATGCTTTAAATTCCCCAAGTGCTCAGCAGTTGTTTACAGGGCTGATGCTTTTACTTCCCCTGAACTGTCTCCTTATCTCTGTCAGCACATTGTGGGATGCTCTGTCCCTCACTAGGTAATATTTACATCGTGGAATCAAAGTCACATAAATGGTGGGCTGCTCATTTGGTCATGCAGTCATCAAAATTCCCTAGCAGTTATATGTTCCTTTGCATGTGTGCAAAACGTAGGCATATCAACATGGTGAATGGCATGAAAAAGAAAGGAGTTTAGGAGACCAACACATCTACAGGAAAGGGCCAGAGTGGGACCTGAGAAAGTGAGAAAAATGTAGAGAGAGATGGGAAATGTGGAGAGAAAGATGTAGCAAGAGAAAATATTCTTTAAAAAAAAAAAAAAAAAAGCTGGAGAAAGAAACACTAAAAATTAGTTTTGTCCTGGGGGATTTCCAGCAGGTGGACTCCTGTGGTAGATCATTATTGAAAACATAGCATCTGTTTTTCATAAATAGTTTTTGAGCAGTACCTTTAAATGAATTTGCAGAAAAGGAAGCATCATTATCTTCATTATACCTGCGGGAAAGCTTAAGAAAAGAGAACCGATTTGCCTAAAGTCAGACTTTCTACCAGCCGAAACAGCAAGAGTCTCTTGAGTCACTCTTCACTGCTTTCCTGGCAGAGTTCTAGCTCTGCCGTGCCATCAGTTCTCAGTGTGTGCAGACTAAGGCAAAGTGGGTTTGTTATACGTTTCTCGCTGTTGCTCAGCCAGATGTGTTTGCTAAGCAGAAGTGATCACTTTCTCCTTTTATTGTCCAAATTTCATGGTCCCTTCCCCAGGACTCTGTGGTTTAATAATAAAAAATGCTGCTCACCACTGCTTGAAGTTTTTAAAAATGAGTTTCGCCACAGAGTCCCAAGAAAAATATGGACCAGTTCCCAGATAGCTAATCCCATCCAAAGAGCATCCTCTGAACAATACTGCAGGAGGCATCCCAGACAAGAGGGGTGTACAAAGGATAAGCATACATGGCCGTGAAAACGCTTTCCCGACAGTGTTGGAAGAGCCCAGCAATTTGAGGGGAGAGGGATCTGAGACATTTCTGAGACTTTGGCATTTTTGCTTATTGAATTATTTATTTGTCCATTGGCTCTTCCCAGTTTCCCTCAGAACTGAAGTTTGAGAAGCCACAATACTCCAGTTGGTGGTTGCTGCAGTGTGAGTTTGTGAGGTGCTCTGTGACATCTGGGCACAAGGACACACCACGCCCCACAGAGGGACACAGCTGCTGATGGGGATGGCAGTGCAATAACCACTGTCCCCCAAACTCAGATCCTGGAGCAGCACAAACAATCCCTACAAATCCCTATTTGCAAACATTTCAGATATGATGGAGGCTGGTTTTGGGTGGGAATCAGTTTTGACCATGGCCAACCAATCCAACAGATACCTGGGTCCAGCCCACTGCTGAGACACACACACACACACACACACACACCTTATATTTTAAAGCAGCAGGAAGGAAGTGAAGAGGCAGTGGTCGGTGGGGGCCAGTCTGCTGGCAGGTCACAGCTGACTCTGCTGTTCTACATGTGTTTGCTGCCTCTGTTAATCCCAGTGGGCTGAAGCAATTTATTTTCCATTCCCTTTTTGTAAACCATCCATTGGCAGCAGCCAAAGTCAATCAGTTGTTTCCACTGGAGCTTGCAGCACAGACAACCGTCATGTTAAGCAAAGAGTAAAAAAACGACTGAGGGAGAGAACGGGCGGCTGGGGAGCATGCACAGAGCCAGCTGCTTGCAGCCGGAGGTTCGATCAGCCCCGCAACCTGTGACACCTCCGTGTTACTCGGTGCCAGCAACCCGGGCAGCCCCATAGCCTGCTGAGGGCTGAGGAGCATCACCTTCACAAGCAGAAGCCTTCTGGTCCAGTTGAGGGGCAGGCCAGGGAAAAATACACTGGGTAGCTGGAAATACAGGCAAAAGGCTCATCACTATAGAAGCAGAGCTCCTTTTCCTTGAAAACAAAAGTTGTCATCTACCATCTTTTGTTGTTTTCCTTTGAGCTGAAGAGAAACTGTGAAGATCTGCTTCACAGAGAAGGTGTCCTACAGCGAAACACTCCGAGGGTAAAACGGTGAGCAGCCCCAGAAGCTTTCCCTGTTGTCCCAACCTAAATACCCAGGTGTAAAGTAGCAGTACAAAGAGGGTAAGAGTGATTTTTGATAATGCACTGTAGACTTTCTCTTTTCATAAAAATGAAGGTGAAGTACTTTAGAAATGTCATTATCTTCTCCAGTTACTGCGTATTTGCAGAACTCGGTTAAATTCATTGGAGCGCAGCACAAGTGCGTTACCTGCTTGCCCTAAACCACCCCAAAGGCAGCTGCCTTACACTCAGATATATAATATCACTGAGGTGACGGATGGTAATTGCACAGAAGATATCAGTATGACACAAGGTAGTAGTGTACCTCATTTTAGAGAGACTATAGAGGGAATTCAAGCAAGCAATTAGTAACTACCAAGTTTTGATTTGCTTTTGATCCAGAGTTTAAAACTTCAGTTTTTGAGAATTTTCAGTGAGATTTCATGATAACAAACCAGAACTTCAGTTCTGAAAATATTCAGAAAAGGCTACTGAATATAGGGTCTTGGACTGGACTGCATCATGCAGTCTTTGACAACACTCACTGAACCAAGGTTTTCCGAATATTCCCCTGACACAGCTCAGTCCTATAAGCATGGAGTAAAACCATGAAACTGTCCTGTTTCTTTAAAAGAAACAGAGCACCTCTGTTCTTTTCAAATATAGAAGGGAATGGGAATGGGAACATGAGCTCAGCCTGTGCTGTGTGAAAGTTTTGATTGATGTGAAAAGACAACTGTGCTAGGGAGCACATACTTTTCTTCATTGTCCTGCTTTCTTGGGCTGTAATCTCATCTAATTTTGCATCTAGTTGAAAGGACCTTCACAAGTGGCTCTGCAAATGCAAGTTATGGCATCAACACAGCCTCTCAGCCTTTCTTTCTAAAGACATTTAATTGTTGACTCTCTTGTGTTTATTTTCCCCAGTGAATAGCAGCAAGCACATAGTGAGAAAATACCGTGGGCACCTCCGAACAAAGATTGAGTCTGGAGAAGGAACCATACCCCTCCGGTGCCATAATGCAGCTCAGACGTGGGACGGCGTGTTGCTGGGAGAGCAGCTCATCACCATGTCCTGTACGGACAAAATCGCCAGGTACTCGATGTATATACATCACAAAACTCCTTGCATGTGGAAATGAAGTTTGGTGCCACAGAGGACCATGGCTGTTGGTGGGGAATAACTAGCAGGTGCTGACAAACCCTGTGGAAACAAAGGCCTTCTTTGTATGCAAAAACAGACCATATAAATAGGATGGAATGTAAATAGGACATTTTCCCAAATTCTCCATGGGTCGTTAGTTGCTTTTTACAGTGTGACAAAAATATGAACTCTCTTTGCAGCATTTTTGCCAATAGAATTTCAGTGTGCAAGTAAAATACATCCACTCTCCTCTTATTGGATCATTTACCCCAAAACTTGCAGAGCAACCATCAGGCAGATAAACTTAATTCATCTGTACCCTATTGGATAAAATGCCCTAAAAGCCGATAAAGAATATTTCTACTATTTTGAATGCCACTGCAGAACTCGCACGTCACGGCCAGCTCTGTGGCTTTCTGCTCTGCCCTGTAAATACAACACATACTTATGTCAAATAATTGCTGCGTAATAAATATTTCATAATTATTTCATGGTGGTATGTAAAACGTCAACACGTTCCCCGTTCTCAGTTTAGGGTGTTAACTAATAGCAAATGATGGCTTTCACAAACTGAAAACTAGGTTTGCACACATACGTACACTTTTAGTATATACTTATACATACATATATACTTACGCTCATAATTATATATATATTACATGCATTAATTATAGATGTAGCTCTATGTGTAAAATACATTACATTATAGCTATAAAAATGTGTCATGATCGAATTCTCTGGTGGAATATCATGCCTAAGAATAAGAATTCAGTTAAATTACATCAGCTGAGAATTTGGCCCAATTACTAAAGGCCAATATAAACATAATCTTTCAAAAAAAACATAAAGCTTTTGTTTAATGCAAGTGCATGAATTCTGCTCTCAGCTTTAACCAGATGACCTACTGAAGTTAAATTAGTCTGTAGGCTTAGCAAAGTCTGGCATTTTGGCAGAAAAATGTATGACTGAACCAGGAAATGGAAATACTAACAGACTCACAAAATCCATCCTCTGCTAAGTGTAATCATCACAACTGTTGTGTTTGCATGAAGAATAAAGAGCAACTTCTGCTATAATGTTTTCATTTATTCATAAAAAATAACAGAAAACCCAAACTGTTTCCAGTGGACCTCCTGCACTATTTATAGAGGCAGTTGGATTTTCCAAATTCAGACTCATGTGCACTCAAAAAACTAAACAAAATCAAGTTTGAGGATGGAAATTAGCCAGTGTATTAAATGTGGTTTGGAATGTCATTAGCCAGTGTATTAAATATCAGCTTTGCAAACAGTATCACATTTGCTGTTGATGGAGGTGTTGACTGCAATGCACAGTCTCAGAAGCTGGGTTTTCTCCCAGCACATCTTCTAAGCACTTTCAGTGAATCCTTTCCTTGTTGCCACAGATCTAAACAACATTAAAGTCTGTGAAGAAAAAAAGAATCTATCACAAAGTTTTTTCCAGGATGAAAAAATCTTGCAACTTTCATATTTAATATTATTATTGCAATATTCTGAATTACTGCAAATTTTATTATTTATTTGCACTGTAACTCAGATGGGCATGGGATTTTTCTAGGCCAAAAAAAATAATCAGCAATCATTATTTCCATCTCTGAACAGCAAATGTTTACTGGCACCAGTAAGGGACAGTTAAAAAAAAGGTTGATAAAAAATGTGGGAAAGCAACATTTATCGGAATGGTGGTAGTGTGGTGGCACTACAGATGTTTCAGATGTCTGGACACTTCCAAGCACTGTGGGCTCCTTGGTCTGGTGAAGAGCTCTGGTACAGGTAAAATGGGTAGAACAACTGCTGAATTAGCAGATGAGGAGAAAAGATCAAGACAGTGTCGAGATTTAGAAATGGATGAAGGTTACAAGAAGGAGGGAATGGTCATTCCCAATAAAGGAGAAAGATGGAGATGGGAAATGATCATAGAAGAGGTGATTTGTGGGTCTGGTGCGGATAGCTCCAGTACTTAGAAGTGATGGAAACCAGACAAGAGGGTCCCAAACAGAGGTTTTGAGGAGAAAAATTCAAAGTTAATAAAGTAGAAACCATGGAGTTGAATGTAAAAACAAATACCCTTTCAGAAGGGAAACTGAGAAAGACAAATTGAATCCAGAGAGTGCTGGGAGCATCGCCATGGCATGTACCATTGTGAAGGGTCTGAACGCTTCTGGAGAGTGTGCCCAAGGGTATCTAGACATGTTCCCAACCCTGGCTGCACTTGGAGTTCATGCCTTTCCTTTCTCTCTCACGGTCACATTGTGAGACTTGGTTCTGCAATTTCATTTGCACCATGCTCCTAATTACATGTATTTGTAGCATGACTTCAGCTGGGTTCACAAGTTCTGGTTTGGAAATCACTGTGCTAGTGAAAACCAAGTACCAATGCTGCAGGAAATGTTCACAAAACCAAATCTGGAATGGCAGAAAATAAGAGACCCCCTCAGAGCTGGCTACCAATGAAAATGTTTCCAGAGATTTTTGAGCGCTATAAATGTTCTGTAGACCTAGAGTGGTGGGAAGATATGGCATCTTCAATAAACTTTATCCAAAAATTCAGTTTACTGCATTAAATATGATCTATGATCAACTTTTATCATTCTTATTCTCACCTGTAAGGGATGAAATCAAAGATTTCTTCACCTGACCTTTGTTATACCACATATAGGTCTGTTCACCTCTGGCCATAGAAAGTACAAGCAATAAAGGAGTTCAGTGGATGAGGATATTGCTGTGTGAGGGTGCTTTTCCTGGTCCTGCCCCCAATTAAGAGATCCGTATGTGTTTTCTGTGCCACACTTCAGACTCCAAATATCTGCTTTACCACATAGACAGCTGACTCTTCAAATGTCTGCAGGGTGCAGGAATCTTGTTGCACAACATCTGGACTTATCTCACAATGAGGAAAAAGATCTCCATGGATCTTCTCCAAAGCTGAAATTCATGTTTGTATGAGCAAGATTTGACAAAAACCTAGCTTGTATACTTTAGATGTTATTGCTTGTAAAAGCCCCTCAGGAGCACTGGGCTATTAGAGAATGTTTCCTCTTGAGAACCTATCCAGTAGCTGCTAAAATATACATCATTTTGCATTATTTGCAAAGGACATTGCTTTCAGAATATCAAAGACCCTAGAATGGAGAGAGTTACACAGAAAAGTGAATAATATTCTATAAATCATGTATCTAACGATTTATGTTCTTTCTTGTTCACAGGATAGCCATAAGCAGAGGGTGGTTTAATCAGATTTATCTGTTATTCAAAGGCATTTAGCAATTTTTATTACTATCACCACAAGTTTGAGAGACTTTGATGCTTGATATGCATTATTTGGGCTCTGTGGCTGTGTTGAGATTGCAGGATAAACAGCCTGGTATCACACCTATTCCCTTACTGAATTAAAGCACAAACACTTCTGGCATGAATACTCATGTTACTTGGCGCAGGCAGGGAATTATGAGGTGGAATTCTGCAACTGCATTATAAAGGAGGTCAGACTAGATCTTAGTGGTTCCTTCTGGCTTTAAAAACCTATGCATTTATATGTGGAAATTTAAAGTTTGGGTTCTGTGAATCCCCAGATAACCCACCCTAAGAGAGTGTTAGCTTTTACACTCACAACTTCTGTGAGTCTCACAGAAATGAGTTCAGCCTCTCAGTGCCATAGATTTTAGGATTAAAGCATGTTCTTCAGACCCAATGTTCATTATTTACACTAAAATCTAAGATTTCAACTTTCTTTTTCCTCTGTAGCATACACTGTGTACACTTGTCTAAAAGCAGCAATGTCGCAAGAAAAATAATTTTGAAAATAATCAGCTGTTTGGGGAAAAATATGTGCCATGTAACATTTTCTTGGTGCTGATAATAACATATATTAAGACCTTTATGTCAGCACAGACATCACAGCCCTAAGAGAATTCAGGTTTTTTGTGACAGTAACCCCATTCATACAATAGGCCAAATTAAACTTCTTTTCACCTCCCTTTCTCACACTAAGGCTGGAGACAGGCACAGCTCGTACTTTTGGTTATTAGGTCAGTGCGAGGTTAATGCTGCTGGTGGAAGTCTCTGCAGTTGCTGCTCAGGAGCAGACAAATGTTTGCAATGATGATGTTTGCACTCCACACACAGGCACAGACATTTAGGTAAAAAGCAAGAATATCTCTAGAATTCGTCTCCTCTTCAAGGATCTAAATGCAATAACTGAACATTAGGAAGGTTCAGCACTAAATTGTGTCTCGGACCCTCAGAAATGTTCACGCTACTGAGGACTGAGAAGTTCTCAGGTTCCTACCAGCAACAGGGGTGGGATTTCCCTCAGGGACACCGTCTCTCTGTGTCCCCTTCAGTGACATGGTCTCCAGCTGCACAAAGCCATTCCAGTGCTGAGCCTCTCCTCTCCCCTGCACAACACTGCTGGCTTCCAACAGCACACAAAGCGTATACCTATATGCCAGCTTTGCAGGTGATAGTTCACACATTCAAATAGATATGTATATAAAATAAGAATTTCCAAATGTCTCTACTTCATACACTTACAACAGAAGAAATAAGAAAAACTGGACAAAAAAAGATCTATGCACTTCTCTTACTGAAGTACATCACCCCTCCAGAGAGACTTGTAGAGGAACTTCAGTCTGCCACAGAGTATGGAAACCTCCTCAGCTTCCATAAGCATGGAAACACTGCCCAAGACTCCGTCAGGCCAGCCTCCTTCCATCACAGCTCATCCCTAGTCCCACAATGCCCTCAGTGTGACAACACATACCCCGCTTCTGTATGATGTTTCTTGTTCTGTGCTCTGAACTGACCAGGATTTACATCTCATCATCTGGGTCGCTTCTTCTTCCATGTAGAGAAACTGAAGAAATTATTTCTCCCACTGTCAACCAATCCAAAATAGGAGGGCATTCCCCCCTGAATAGCTGCACAGAAAGG